GTACAGAGTCAAAAGCTTTATTAAATAAAAAAAACCTTTAACTTTAGTAGTAGTATATCTTTCATTTTTCAGTTTCTATATATATTTTTAGTACTCTTTTACTAGTACTAGCCTCACTAATTCTTAATTAATCTATTTATTAGTTATAATTAATTAATTACTTCTTTCTGTATCTATTTACTGTGATCTTCTGAAATCAGGGAACTTTCCGGTACAGAAAAACGTTCTGAAAGAATATTCTAGTTAGTTAATATAAGGTCGAAAGACTCTCTAATAAACACTTAAAACTTTTTTAAATATTCTACAGGTATTTCTAATTGAAGTAAAATTTTAAACAGTGTATAAAAGTTTTAAATTTTCTTTTTTAGATAGCCTTTTTTATATGAGAAAATTCTTGACTATAAGTTAGAAACAAATTTATCTTTTATTAAAATTTTTTATAGATTGTTATATTTACTATCTTATTACCTTTTAGACTTTTTTTAGAAGTAATAAATAGCTATTTAATATATATATTTTTGCATCTTTTAAATTATATATATTTTTATAATATATTATATAAAATGTAATAATTTTTTTTTATTTTTTCTTTCTTCTATTATACTTTAGATATATCAGAAAATCTTATTTTAATATCTTTATATAATATAAAAAGGCTACTAATTCTACTATATATATAAATTTTAAATTTTAATAATAGTATTTATTACTGTTGTACTAGCTCGTTATTATGCTATTTTATTCTTTAATTACATTAAATATATTTATTTTTTATTAAGTTCCTTTGTAGACTGTTATATATATTAGAGAAAGTATCTTAACATAAATTAAAATAATTTATTTATAAAAAAGTTAAATTATTATAATAGCTAACTAAAACTAATTACTAAACTAATTAATAATAATAACTAAATATAAAATTATTATTTTAATTATATTAGTAAATACGTTTCTACTATTTAAAACTATTTAATTACTAGTTATAGCTTTCTGTTTAAAGTTTTTAGACTACTTACTGTCTTTTTACCGGTAGATAATTTTTTTACTAATAAATATTTTGAAAACTTTAGACGAAAAGGTTACAGTTAACTAAATAAACTATTAAAGAAGACTAGAATATTAAGTTAATAATAATATACTTGGTACGTACCTTACTCTATAGTAATTTTTGGCCAATTTATAACGTAATAGATGTAACTAACTAATTTCCTGCTGGTTTCTTTAACAAATGAATCGCTAGAAAAGGGGAATTGCTAAGGACACCCCAACTTTTTACTAACGGCACCCCATCTGATTATCTAATATCAGTTATTATGTAATCTCACCACAACTGCACACCCTCGTAATAGAATTGATATTTTGATCAACTTTTATATGATTAAGATGCCTCGAGTTAGTATGCAGATTAGTTAAATGTATTATACTTTACATGACCTGATTGTATGCCCAATTTCCCCGCAATTCGAGCACTTAGAAAGCGCTTTTTTCTTGCCTGTTACAGCTGCAATTGAAGTCCCCTTTCCAATACCTAATCTATCCGAATTTCTACCCTTTTTGTCTGATCTTTTTGCCTTTGGTATAGGCAGTCGCGATTCGAGTAATAGCAGGTACTCAGATTGATTATCTGGTGCTATATTTTGCCTCCAAAACGGATGAATATCCGTTAATGGAATAGGCTACTTTATCTCTAATAATCGTGCGATTCGGTAGGCACATGGAAGGCCTCTTATCCTAGTAAAACTATTAGTACATTCCGATAGAGGGGCAAGGGACGTAGCTCTTTTAGCAATATCTATTTGATCATAAATAAGATTAAGTGAATAGCGTAAGGTTTTTCTATTAATATCTGAATATAAGAGGAACTGACAGAAAATTAGCTGTTGTAATTGATCCTCTTTAACCTTACGTATTAGTGTGTCAATCTGACAATTTAATATATAACTAATTCGGTTTCAAACAGTTAGGATATTACCTATTAAAACTTGAATATATTTCTTGATAAATGCGTAAGAGTCTTCGACTCGTAAAATTGTTGAATTTCCAATATGAAAGTGCTGATTTGTCCAACAGCGGATCACTTTTTCTTTATAGATTAGCTATATTTCTTTGATATATCGTAAGGCGTAGGGGGATACTGATTAATATTTCTTGTTAAAATCTTATAATTTTGCTTTATATTTATCTTCTGTTGGCAAATTAATAAGGTTCTGCCAGTTTAAAAGAAATTCATTCCATGTTTGATCAGTAGTAAAGCACTCTTTTACTTTTGCAGCAATGTTTTTATTAATATGCCATAAGTAGAGTAAGTAAAGGTAGTCTAGATAATTTTTATAAAATGTACCTAATAGAGCAAGATCCCGGTCAGTACAGAGAACCGGAGATTAGAATTTTAGAGGTTCAAATCCTAAAAAAAAGGGTTTTAATGTCCATTTATATGATTCTTTCTGTTCATTTTGTATAAAGCAGAATGCAATACTGAACGTTATATTTAATGGTAAAACGCCTATAATATGGAGTAATGGCATTTTATAGCGATTTGTTTTATATGTGTAATCTAAAATAAACACTTTATTATACTGATTAGTGTAACGAATTGATTCAGGGTAAGTAAATATAAAAAATGTAATACGTTCCTCTATATCTTGTTTAAATGTAAACTTTCACTAGTAAGTAAGTAGTTAATCTAGAAGATATTGAATTGGCATACAACCAGCAAGACGTTCCCGTAAAAGGGCCTGTTTGAGATTATATAAATCCTTTGGTACAATTAATAGAGTAGGATTACTCTTTTTAACTACGCTGATAATCTGTTGTAAAGGGATATTTTTATTAAGAAAACGATAAATTGTAGCCTGTTGTTCCTGGCTGATCGTTCGTGCTACTGGATGTGCGATCATATTATTTTCAAGCTTATGATTATATTCAGGGTTGCTCACTTTTACGTGCCATTTTCTATCTAAATTTTTAGCACTTGATTTACTAGCATATAAGCAAAAAGCACATCCAATTCGTTTAGTATTAGTCTTTCGGCATTTTGTCCCATCTGATACATTAATTCGATCAGTATACTGACTACCACGATTACAGCCAATACAGATATTTCTACCTGGGTTTGATCTAATCGTGGTGATAGTATAGCCTTGAGAAATTGCATAATTGCGAGGAGCTAAAAGCATTTCCTCGAGGGAATCATAAGTTTGATCAAATGGGGTTGCCATAGTAGAAAGTGAGTAGAAGAGTGAATAGATAGGTAGTCAAGTATATAGATTGTTTGATCAATAACTTGATTTTTAAAACCGAGTGGGAAATATCGAATGATAAAAATAATAATTGAGTGTATGGAGTTGCTATAGTAATTTATGGAAAATGCGAGATTACATAATAACTGATATTAGATAATCAGATGGGGTACCGTTAGTAAAAAGTTGGGGTGTCCTTAGCAATTCCCCTGGAAAAGGCATTAATTAGATAAACAGACAAAGCAGTATATAATTAAGTGCCTTACAAAATTAACTGTACCAAAATTGTACTAAATCTCAATACATATATATATATATATAATATGTATTAAAAAAATTATCTCTTCCCATACAGACTGGGTATGGAGCAAAAACAACGTCCCCGGTCAGGATTGAACTGACAACCTCTCGATTAACAGTCGAACGCGCTAACCAATTGCGCCACGGAGACAAGCTTATGCAAAGGATTTTCTCAAATGTGTATATAATTATGCGGGACATATACACTAATGAATTATACCGCCACTGAAAGTGCTACTAGAGCATATACTTACACTACTTGATGTGAAGGGCTAAAGCTAGTATATGAGTCTATAGTAGCTAGGCCACAAACTGTTTACAATAGCTTGAAGAACAGAAGGGAAACACAGCTTCAGTCAGTCCCTAACAGAGGTTTTCTGTTGTTCTTTACCGCCTTCTTTAGTAAGCCCGGCCACGGTATGCCATACCTGGCCCACATCGGGTTCAACCCGTTACACTTGATTTGAATGAGGTTACTCACTTATTGTATTCCCCAGCGCTAACTAAGCCTGGGCCGGCGTCTACAATAGAGATATGGAAGGTATGCCAAACAAAGTACACAATAAAAATCATTCTGCAGTCTTCAATTTTACTATATATGGATTCAAAGGAACCAGTTACTGTTAACTACATTAATTCCCTCCGCAATGAGCCTATGACTGTCTGCCCTTAATACGCAACCCGGCCACATTGTCCAGTCTGTTTAGGTACTGCACAGCCGCATGCAACTAAGCAATTTTAAGCTTGTTTCAGGAATATAGAGCACAAAATTCCTTGTCCTAATCAAGTTAGTGGCGGTGGCACAATTGGTTACCTAGCGCATACAACTATTAACTGTGAGATTGAGAGTTATCCTCTCCCGGGACACTTGTTCTTTCTTATTGTGTCTATGTATGGTGGGTCTTTTTTCAAAGATTGAACTATCTGTATACCAGCGGCTTGGGGGTTGAGTCTTCTTCTCTCGTCATAATTGTACCCCTCAAATATCAACCAATGTGCTTATCTTACAAAGAGTCCTGTAGGCTCTTGATTGATAACCATTCATGGAAGTCGCCCCTTTTTATTTTGACCACTGATTAAAGCAAAAATTGACACCGCTACTTTATCTCTATCATACTCTTTGGATGCTCTCTATTAGTAAGGTGAAACTGGATAACAAGTCTATTGCCTTTTTGGAATCCTAGCCCTAATCCTTACGTAAGTAAATAACAACTGGCTACATATTACTGCCGTAAAATGTTGTAATAGATACTTAACCTTTTGCCGCCAAATTTCATTTTATAGCTTTCTGTAAATGGATATCCTTGTAGGTGGGCGATCGAGCTTGCCTGCCGGGCAATAGCAGCTTGGTTCATGGGGTAGCGCATTTGTTTCTCTCAGTAATTTCGGAAAGAATTCTGTAGTTGATTACAGTATATACAATAATAGCAAGCGTGGCAAGTAAATAAGTGGTATCGACAACTAGACTTCAAGCATGATGTCTTTATGGCCGATTGCCTCATCTAAATGAAAACCAAATACAAAGCGGTAAAGATCCCCAAGCCAAGGAAATCGTCCTGCCTGCATTGCTAATTGTGCGGCGTTTGCTATCTCGGTAGCACTGGCACGGGCTTGAAGCCCTATCTCTCGAAAACAAGGATCAATTGCAACGGTCCTCTTGTAATTTTTAAGTAGAGACAATTGCCAAGACATTGACCCAAACGCGTCTGAAGAAAGTGATTTGATGAATGAAGGCAGGCTCTGCGGACCGTCACGCAAATATCCGCAGTTGATTGCAGCCTTTGCCATCAGTATCCTAAGGCTTCCTAGGCTAAGATCGTTGGAGGAAGTCTTTATTGTATTCGTTGAATGCTCAGAGGATTGGGATTGTTCGGAAATGCTTGAAGAGTTCGATCGCCACGCTGCTAGGCCTTGTCCTAAAACAAATATGTTTTGAAGTGGCGCCTCATCAGGAGAAGCTGCGGCAGTATCCTCGAAGATGGTTGTAGGTGTTTCGGGATTCCCTTGTTGTGAGGCCTTATCATTGAGATGAGCCTTAGAAGGTCCCTTTTCCCTAGTCCGAACAATCTGGGGATATGTCGTCTGGCTTGGCCGGGGCGTGCCGCGATCAGAATTACGCAGGCCTCGTCGAGACCAGCCTTCTCGGTAGATATCACAAAGATCCCAACAGGCTTGTACAGCAGAGCCAAGTAACTCCTCATCTAACACCCTCCCCCCTTTCTGAGCCTGTCGTATACTGAACAGCATCTCCGCGAGTGACCAGCAGGCGCTTAGTAGAGAATCGGAGTCATTGGTTCCAGTTCTTTGCTTCATAAGACGATGACATAAGGTAATGTAAAAGTCTAGAGTCCTTTCTCTAAAAGCGTCTGGCAAATTTCGATCATGTGTGTTATATAGATGGTTGTTGAGCTCGAAGCTGACGCGAAGGACCGAGTCTGCCAATTCATCGTCGCAATCTCTAGCATCGAACAATGTTTGACAGAAGCTTCGACAGGTATCAAGTGTTGAGTTTACCCGACATCCATGGTCATTGCATTGGGAATTATATAATTCCCGACAGAGTGTCCAGCAGGATTTCCATGCCTCTTCGTGCACATCGTCTTTACAGTTCAGCCGATGCTGGTGAATATAGCTCAGACTGGCCAGTGTGTTACAAAGTGACCAACACTCAGTAAGCGCTGCTTTCAAGGATCTGATTTCAGCTTGACCATCCGAGACGTGCTTCACATCCCAGTTTAGCCCGTGGGATGTTGTACCAACTTCAACGCTGATCCTATTAAGAGCATCGGTTCCTTCTGGTATATCTGATTTGTTGTCAATACCAAGCCGAGGCACAAGGAAAGGACATCTGGAACAGCCACTTACCCTCGAGGTTGTTTGAATGTGAAGAACTGTCGATATCTTCAAAGTCTTGCATTGTCTGCGCTCGAGGGGTCCCGCGCTCAGACAAATCCTGCGCGGGCTTAATGGCAGTAGACAGTGGGGGAGGTGATATCGGGCTGGAGGAGGATTTCTGATAACTTCAGCCTGCTTTCAAGCTTGCAGTCAGGGGTACGTAACAAACCTTCGTTCCTCTAGTAGCTAATTGCGCCAAAGGCAGTTTCATCATTGTCATATCGGAATCCACGGACGACATCGCATCTGATTTGGGAACCGATTGGCCATTGAATCGCGGAAATCCTAATTTCTGCGTGACTCGAAACATGAGTCGGAAGGATCATTTAATGACATTCAGGACAGGCTCTCACAAATTCCCTGAAACCCGAAGGGGCATGTATCACAGATTGGGGAGGTTCATCGTGATCGCACTTTCTTTCCAAGCCGCAGTCAATCGATGGGGATGTTCGTATCTTTTATATGCATACGTTAATACAAATTTATATGACCTAGGTATGCCTGTGCCTATCTGACGAACTGGAGTCTTCGCGCGTACCTTTAATTCGGACCGGGTATCATTCGCCGGAGAGCCAACATGGAAGGCGGCTGTGGATGTATTGGTCGATTCGGCTTCATTCCCATTCCCAGCACCTGCCGTCTTGCCCTCTGTACCATCAAGAATGGACATTTTCACTTTGGAAGATTATCCACAAGGCTTATCTTCAGCAGATTACGATTGTTTAAATAGTTCAAGCTTGTCACACGTACTAGAAAATGTGAACTGGACGCGCTGGATCGACCTACTGGAGACTATTGTGACCGATCAATCACTCTCGTGATGGCGTTGATTCTTCAACAGGAACATGATGCAAAAAGATGGCCAAGTTGATTAAGTGAAATGCCCAGGCACCGACACCGTTCCTGAGATGGGATCCCCCGCATATTATGATGATACCACATGATCTCGGTTAGCCGTCACCTTGGTAATTCCTTCTGCTTCGGACTAGCCAAGCCACTTCATGCGCCATAGACAGGGGTTCGGAATTGCGGAGGTTGTGAAATTGTGCTTTCATCTCAAAAACATAAACCCACGCCAGGAGATTCCAATGATATCTACAGAGTGGGCTTGATTATTGTTGTTATTATTATGTAGGCGCGTAATTCACTTCTTAACATCACGCGGTGTTTCCTTACCGATGGAATGGTATCTGGTCGATTCTTGCTTCATTCATGTGGAATATCAATGCATAACCAAGGCTCCGAATGGACAACCACCTGCAAAGGGGCATCTATAATCTTGGATGTACGTCCACAAAACCCTGCGCTCCCATAAAAAAGGAGGAGCATGAACGATAGGCCGACACTCGAAATAAGAGGACTGGTTGCTTTCCCCCTTTTTTTTGCCTTCTCATTGCTAACTAGCGTTTTCCTTTGGACCAGTACTTTCTCAAACAGCATCGGTCGAATTGACAGTTGTTTGCCGGCCTTTATTTCCCAGACGAGAGAAGGGGCGGATAGCCAATCCATTGTGTTCACAGTTTGCTAGAGGCCTTTTCCCCTTTTCAACGATCCTTGAGCTTTCAATGGTCCGTAAAAGCAAGCGGAAGGCGCTTCGACATCGAGATAATCAGGCGCATTGATTAACGGGTGATGAGACATTGTGAATACTTGGCAGACCGATTGTGACGACTGCTAAGTACATGCTTGGACAGATGAGCGAAGGGCGGCGGAAAGAACTTATAATTGATTCTTCGATTTCTCCCTCTCCGTCGGATTATAGCTGAGTAGGCTGGATCAGTACGACACACCACGCTTACAGAGGAGATTATAGTTACCGCAGAAGTTTCTCAATCAAATCCACATGCGTCATGATCATGCGGCGGCAGCAGTACCGCTTGCAACCAAGCTGGTCCATGGCGTCACTTGAGAACGGTTATTTAAAGTCCCAATATCGAGCAAATTCTAGCCAAAGATCTGAAACATACCCATCTGGGATTCCCTCGTCAAGTAACTGGAGATAGCGCTCCCATAGGTCACCAACAACCTAGATAAGTGAAGCGTCAGAGAATGGGTTATTCAAGTTGCTTGATTATACAGGATACGAGAAGAGGCCTTACCTTGCCACATGAAAAACATCGGACAGGAATAATCATTTTTCTGGTCTTTTATGATCAGGCCAAAATACGCTCGATGAAAAGAATGTAAACTCAGATGTTGATTTATGGGTATGCTTCGATTCTCTCCCCTAGAGCCAAGGAGGTTGACGATTCTAGGGACAGTGTTGGGTGAGAACAAAGAGAGACAGTAGCATCGGCAGAAGGTAGGTAGGTAGCTATGGCTGTATGAAGTCTTTGTTTCAATGACCGGAGAGATTTTCTGAATGGACCCCCGGCCCACAATTTGCCATGTACTAAATACGCTAACCAAATAGGGACTAACCCGTTTTCGTGCTGTGGCTCGGGACTGGAGAACTAATTGGGTAAAAAAAAAAAAAAAAATCACTGATGAAATACCGATCAACTAACCACTTTACATTCTCTTGCTATACCTGCGATATAATACATGAAACAAAAGTCATTATTCCACTTGCCAGCCTGTTAGCTTGTGGATATGATGACCACCCCTGATAAACCCAGCAGAGCAACGAAGAGATCTCTAGCCAGTGATGCAACCCCAGCGAGAAATATGCACCTAAACGAAGGGCGAACGAAGAGGCCCCGTGCTTCTTATAGCAAGAATGATACCGACTCGACTTTGGTGCCAGGAAAACGCCAAACATCTGGGAAATCAGGTGCTAGATTACTCCCGCAATCTAATCCTGTTCCTTTTAACGACAGTGTCCAGAAACCAATGACACCCCCAGAAGGCTGGACATTATCAAATACCATTGCGGGTCAATTCAGCAACTTAGACCCAGTCCTTACCTCTGATGAACAGTAAGTACCCCCGCTCCCTAATGCTTGAGTATGATTTAACATAGTTTCTGTAGGTACCTTTTTGTTGGGCTTGAGTCGGCTATTCATGTCTACTCCGTTACTACGTCTCGTCTCTACCGTACACTGCAGCTGAAATCCGGCCAACACATTGTTGGATATGCGCTTTCACCCGCCAACCAGGAGGATCTGTTTATATTCACTTCAACTGGCTCGGTGACTAGATGGGATTGGCTTTCTGGTGAACAGACTTCATGCCTGGACTCTCGAGGCAAGACAATATCGATTGACTTGAGCATCCATGAAACTGATGACCATACGGGGTTCCGCCTCACATCCTTGCGGGAGCATAAAGATGGGAAGAAGGAAATAGTGATCACCACACTGAGCGACGGTAACCCACGTGAAACACTCGTCCTTCAGACGGCTGCTCGAATCAGTCAGATCAAGGTTGTGCGCAATGGACAGGTCATTGTCGCATATGGCAGCCAGAATGTTCTTCTCGGGGTGGCTTGTACTGAAACCACAAATTCGGTACCTTCGTACTCCTGGCGCGAAGTAAAGTTACCTGTCAACATAACCTGTCTTGATTTGCGGTGCACCCCCCGAGCCGAGGAGTCCACTGTAGGCGGAAAATCACGCGCAGGGGAGGTCGACCTTGTTTTGGGAGACATATACGGCTCCATATTGCTGTATCATGACATTATCGGTTCATTTGAAGAGGACAACTCTGAAATGTCAAGGAAGCCAGCACCAAGACGATTGCACTGGCATAGAGGACCTGTCAGTGCGGTTCGGTGGTCAAGGGATGGTAAGTTTTTCCCGTGCGATAACCGTCCATCCCATACAGCCAGCTAATGTTGACTCAGGGAATTACATTATTTCTGGTGGCCATGAATCTGTTATGGTTTTATGGCAGCTGGAAACGGGAAGAAAACACTTCCTTCCTCATCTCTCGTCTCCAATTTGCAACATCATAGTGTCTTCGACTGGAAACACCTATGTTGTCAAATTAGCCGATAATTGTATCATGCTGCTATCCGCGAGGGAATTGCAACCGTTTGCCACCATCATTGGTCTGCAACTATATCCGAAGGCGACTAGGCCTCAGGATCGATCAGTACCACTATCGACTTACTGCGCGCCCCAATCCACTACAGCCGCGCTACACCCTCAGCATCCTGATCGGATTCTGTTAGCCGTCCCAGCCTCTCGTCAATTGACACAGTGTGGTCGCCCGTTGCCGAATTCTTCTGTTCTACAGACGTATGATATCAACACGAACAGCCACCTCTCTCGGCAAGCACTTGCACGTACGAACGCAACTACTTTGAGTGTTAGCCCTGAAGGTTCGCAAATAGTTGCCCCGGATGTCGTTCATTTAAGTATTTCCCATGACGGGAAGTGGATGGCTACTGTCGATGATTGGTGTCCATACCCACAGGACGTCGAAGCTTTGGAGCTACTAGGTCAAAAAGAAGCGACATGCATCACAGTACGGGAGACGTACTTGAAGTTCTGGAAGTGGAATACCGTTTCAGGTACTTGGGAATTGGCGACGCGTGTCGATGGGCCTCATTTTTCACGAGATGGCCCTCTCCCGGTGCTGGAGCTCGCTTCTCGGCCACGAAGCCATGAATTCGCTACCATTGGCCTCGATATGGTGGTACGTTTTTGGTGTCCAAGTATTAGGTATCGTAGTGGGTTGAAAGCAGCAAATGATACCAGCTCTCTGGAGGCGTGGAAATGCCGAAGCAGCATTGACTTAAGTGGATATTTCACGAACCATGCACCTGGTCAATCAAGTGCGGCATCCATAAGCTTCTCCCAGGATGGCTCAGTGCTTGCTGTTTGTGCGCAGTCGGTTGACCCGTCGGATGCTGGCCTAGCTATTCTCATTGACGCGCAAAGCTGTGAAGTCCACTACAGCAGAACCGGCTTGTACACTGGTAAGCCCTGTGTAACCAGATTTACAGGGTGTCATCTGGCTATCGCTTCAGAACAGTCTCTGTCGATTTGGAACATTGTTGATGACACGGTGAGGGTGGTTCCTTTGGCCGGAGGCAACTCTCCTGCTACCGCTTCGCCCTTGCTGGCTGTGAGTCCCATGACCGAGACATTTGCCGTCGCTACTCCCGATGTGCAGGAAAATCAACCCGCGAAGAAAACACGGCAACCTCAGTTCCGTGTACGGGTCTATGATATTCACTCCTTGTCCTTGGTTTATCAATCTCCGCTCAGGTATTGCCCTCTGGCCCTGCTTGCAGACCCAAGTTCTGTTGATTATATCATTGTGGATTCTGCGGCCAATATACAACGACTTGGTAGCACGAAAAAGATTTCTCATCCCAGCCAGTCATCTCCTGACACGGCTATTCATCTTCATTCCGGCCTTGCGAGTTTGTTTGGCAGCAAACTCCGTGGGACCGGCATCACACCCCTTCCCCATGGGTCTGATTCCTTGCCTCGCTCGGATCCATCAACCGCTCAGAGCAAAAGTCTGGCTAGCGTCTTTGGCGATGTTCCCCCTTTCGTTTTGCCTCCCGCCAATAAACTTTTTCACGACGTTGTGCATGCGCTTTCCGGCTAAATTCTTGACATTTTTTATCTGACACCGATGATATTGGGCTTCAATTATGTATTTGTATTCTAACGTGCGCGATTTTCTGGCCTTTTTATACCTGTATTTGAGAAGGGCCAGGGGGGGCGATCTTTGGGGGGGGGGCGGGGGGGGAGGGACTTTATATCTTTAGAAGGGATCATTTTGTACAGAAAAGCGCGAATTTGAAGTCAGGTCAATTGAACTCCAAAATGTTGAATACCCACTCCTTATTTAACGCCAATGGGCTTTTGAATTTCTAAATGGTGCTGAAGGGAAATCCGGCAGATATTTCCGTGTATTGTTCGAGGCAATTTCCGATAAATTAGATGTTATAGTTTGTATACACCACAGCCCCGTTGCATAGGAATCAGGAATTTTGCAATTTTCTTTACGTTTGCACCCGTCTCAGTTTTGTACTTAGCGCCTTTAAGCTTAAAATCCGTAATACTTGCTAGTGGCGGTGATGACGAGGGATCAGACACGATCTAGAGCAAGGTTAAATGATGCCTTCTTGCCTTGAACGTGAGTCAAGTATGCATCAAGCTCGTGGTCCTCATCAATAACAAATGGGATGCCATTCCCGTCCTCGTCCTTATCGAGGCCTTCAATCCTAGTGATGATGGCATCTGGATACTTGGCACCGACCAATTGTCGTATTTCAGCAACAGACCTTGTCGCCAATTTCTCAACCCAGGTCTTAGAATTTCCATATAGCTGACTCTGGGGATTAATACGGAGGTAAACCGGAATGTGCAAAATTGTGGGCTGCTCCAGCATAGGATTCACGTAGCCAAAAGAGTGTTCAGAATCATGCTGCCCCGTTGCAGCAAAGGTGGGGTCATTCGCAGCTTGAAGGAGTGAGGGGTCTATTTGCATATCACCTAGGTCATTTGAAGCAACAGGAGCGCTGGCCAGGGCTTGGGAAGCAAGTGTGCTTATTCCATTAGCAATAGCATTACCAAACGCAATTCCGTCGTCGGTATTCTGGTGAGTCTGGGGCTGATGATGCACAGACTGTTTACGGGTTGAGTCTCTTTTAGTCTGATCATCGCGAAGTCGCTTCATGACATCCCGGCAAAGGACCTCGAGAGCCTTCAATCTCGTGGTATGTTCCGAGTCCGCTGGGCCGGGGGCGAGTATTCGTTGCAGTAGTGCAGAGTTTTGGACCCACTGCTCTTTCAGTTCTTTCCAGTGCTCATCGCCAGCCTCCAGTTTGCTTGTAAAGTGATCCGCTTTGAGGGTGTTGTAGAATGCATTTCGTATCTGACGGCTCTCTTCGGGATTTATTCCAAGCGCGTTCTTGGCTTCCGCGATCGTCATTCGGCGCTCCAATGTTCTCATTCTCTTGGTGACATCCGTACAGACAACATCTAGAGCGAGAGATTTTGCGTCCAGTTGACTCGGGTCCTCCCAAAAAACCCCCTGAAGATGCTCGGATTCCTGTATCAACTTATTTTTCGCCACTTGCCATCTTTCAGGCCCGGCAACTGTTTTCTTTATGAACCCCGCCTCTTCACATATCTTCTGAAATTGGTCTCTAATTTGACGGTACATGACACTGTCTAACCCTAGATATTTCTTACTCTCGTCAATAGTGGTTTCGGAAGGGAAACGAGGAGGACCTGGAGGGTCGGCAGGTAGCCCGGCCCAGCCTCGGGTACGGCGCCGGCGCTTTTTAGCTGCCCATCGTTCGGCACTTTCTGCCTTTAATCGATCAAGTCGTTCTTTGCGCTTCAACAGAATCTCAGTGGACACACCCGGGGAAGGAGGGTGTGAGTTCGGGACGTCATCGGGAACAGTGTCGCCATCGTCGAATGGGCTTGACGTTTTGTAAACTTCTTCGTGTAGCGCAAGTAGGCCTTCGTCTTCCGGTACCTGAACAGAATTTGGCAGGCTGTTCTGTGACTTCATTCCATTGGGCACTCGTAAAAGCCAGCGGTTCTTGGCGCGTACCCGCATCAGCTCTCTTTCTTTGATCTCATATCCTTCTTCATTCAATATGCGAAGCATATCTCGCTGGCTGGTATTCTTTTCCCATAGTTGTTTGACGCGCGCAACGAGGTTTGTGTTCTTATGGGCTGGGTTTTGCTTTGAGGGGAACCCCCATCGTTTGAACTGTGTTTGGAATGCACGCTTGCTGGAAAAGCCATCCATACAACCTTATTAACGAATCTCAAACCAAGAAAAAGTAGGATAGGAAAAGATGGCGGTTGTTGAAATTGCCTACTCACCTTGGTGCGAACTGGTAGGTATTCCTCATGAATTCCATGATCTCTTCTAAAGCCTTCTTTTCCTTGATATACATCTGAAAACAGATTTCCCGTTTGCCATCCCAGTCGTAAACCATGATGAAGGATTTGCTTGGAGACACCTCCTCCAAGCTGGAGGTGCGACTCTGGGTACAAGCCCCGTTGCCTTTGGGGGTGGTGATGATCGGGGGAGTATGTGATGGGCGAAGAAGGCACCTGTTGTCGCTGCTGTGCACCGTAGTTTAGCAGTGCTAATAATGATGCAGTACGGTCGCCCATAAAAAGGGGTGACCACGCGGACCACTTGTGCTATCACGTGATGATATTGATACCTCGGTACGGGTAAATGTATAAACCATACCTACAGTCTAATACAATACCTAGGTATGTATGTACTGTACCAAATAGTTAGTGTCTAACAATGCCTCGGTACCAGTACCAGGCTCCGATGTAGATACCTTCCATTGTATATTCTATGTATATAGCTAAATTAGCTATTCTCTACCTACATTCCGGGTAGGGTCACATGGTTAGCTCTGGCGACTCCTACAAGATGTTTGCTGCCCGCGCAAAGCCGCCAGGTAGAGCTGGGTGAGAACGGTTTAACTCAATTGATTCTTCTTCTTATCTTGAAGAGTCGGGTCCGTAGCCACGTCAAGAAGTGCATCCATGTGTTCTTCGGCTGGGCTTTCCATGTTTCCGGTGCCGGCTGTGGTTGCGAGGCAGGCCGAGAGGGGGCAGCAGGTACGCCGTGGACCTCAGAACGTTCCTTTTGCCAACCTTCTTCATCCTGCCTCAGAGAAACTCTCCAGGGCTGCTTTTCCTTCCGCCTGATTTCTCTTGCTTCTGCTTTCAACTGCTGTTCTTCTAATTTGCGCGCCTTAGCTGCTTCTTTTTCTTCAAATGCTTGTCGCGCCGCCTGTACCGTAGCCGCTCGGGATATAGGATCCATACTGGTCCTCGTCTTGGTTCGAAAGGAGAAATCTAGCGACGACCTTGAGATTGGAGAAGCTGTGTCTAGAAGACTCCCAGCGTCTCTGGAATAACCGAAAGACTGACGGCCGCTAAGATTTGTTTGCGAGGTGCCATGGAGTTTTGTGAATGGATCTTCTTGTAGTTGTAATGATAAGCGCGGTGTTTGCCCCGATGAGCCACGCATGGATTGATGCAAGCTATCCGATCCCCATTGTGCCGCGGGCTCTTCCCCGGAATGGCCTCCGTTGGCTGAACTATCGCTCTCCGCAATAGATGCCTGGTAGGATTGGTTTAAAGGCGGCGTATATGTGCGAGGAGCTTGGCGCATTGGGTGAACATAGTGCGGATTTGGTTTACTTATGCTGGAACCACTTGTTGTCGATAGTTCGGAAGTTCCGCTAGCCGATCGATGATGGATGCAATTCTGAGTCATTGCCCTAGTGATAGATGATTTATCATTTCGACGTCCGTCCCTATCGTTGTTCGAAGATGCTGCAGGGCCCTCGTTATCGACAGATGCTGGCGGAAACGTCGACGACGCAGACGATAATTGATCTCGAGACATCTTTCTGGTCATGGGCATTGTATGCACTCTTTCCATACTGGCATTATTCGGCGAAGAGTTGACGGCATTTCCCCTGCTTCCAGGCAGATCAAACGGCGGACTGGGACTTGTATTCAGGTGATCCTCGCGGGCTAATGAGCCGCGATAAATCCTCCTGTCCTTCTGGGCAAACCCATGAGCATTCGTTTTGGGTGTATTCGATCCGTCAGGTGCATCTAGCGGAGGGCGGGTATCCTTGTACATAGGAGGTCTGCCAGACGAGTGAACTAGCAACCCTCTATCATCGCTAGGGTGTGTTGCGAGATCTGCAGAGGCATGGACCTTTGAATGGGTATAATGAGAATTGCGCTCGGATTGATGGTTTGACACGAGGTTTCCGGTCTTGAAGCGCTGAGCGCTCGGTGGAAGCGGTGAGTCTCGAGCGAGACGGTTTTCGGAGCGCGCCATGGTCTTATGTTTTCTTCCTGCCCCCCTATCTGGCTTCTCTGAAAGAAGTGAACTTCCTCCTTTCTCTTAATGATGTGCTGCGGGACACATATTAATTGACGGCGCTGAGCAATGGGACAAGTACAAATTGCAATTCCGAATCCTCCACTGCAGTGGGTCGTGATAAACAGTAACAGGGAGGCCAAACACAATGCATATAGGAGCACAATTTGAGGGTCAATGCCGCAGAAGGCCGCACAAGTATATATGAATGTTATCAAACCTTGACCGTTCATGAAATTGAAGGTTAACTTCCTAGGAGAGAAGTAGCGACGACCTGAGTACGGGATCTAGTACAAAGCATTCAGACTGACCTGAGGATCGGTCCTATCCCCAAGCATCCTTTCCGCCCTTTTCGTATGTAGAGCAAAGAAAGAGCACGGAAATCTATAGAGGCATAGAAAGAGATGGTCGGAGACTGGGGGGGGGGGGGGGGTTGGGGAAAAAGGAAGAGCGAAAAGCGCAAAAGGGACGGGCTCGGAATGACAGACCCACTCGGCTCGAACAAGCCACCGGAAGGGCAGGAGAGGGGAAGAAGCCCCAACGGATGCGGAGGGTGACTTCTGTCTTACTACTCCGTACTCCAAGTTACCCCGTACCTACTACCACCTACCTAGTACCTATGTATATACATCCATGGATGGTAGTAGGTAGTACTCTGTTCGGAGCTTCCCACACTTCGCCGTCCACAAATCCTTCATGATGCTGATCTCACGCACCCTTCCAGCGGATTACACCGCCCACTGCTACTCCAGTTCACTAACTATCTACAGATTACCGGCAAAACCAGGGTGGAGACTGGAGCCGTTGGCTTGAGACAGTGGCTGAAAATCACTTGATCGCATTCGGGGGCTCACTCATTGCAGAGAATAGCAAGATGGATAATGCTGCCCTTCTTGACCTATTCCTATCTGAAATCATGAATCTTAGAGGAGATCATTCATTCATTCATATTTAATGCCTATCAGGCCGCCATATGCTTGAGAGAGCAGAAGGTGTTGACGGGTTTCACGATAACGACGCGATTTGCCAAGTTGCTTGGCGTCTGTCTCATGCAGCCAAGATGGACTTGGGCAATCACGTTCCACTCTCACCTGCCTGTACGAGTAACTTCTACTATGTAGAGTGTAGACCAGCAAGTTAGGAGCGTCCCCCCCACTTTCCTCTCTCTCTCTATGGAGTACATGGCGGGGCAACCACTTGCCTCCTTTTCATTGACCGGCACGTTTTGAATCTGGAAGCTGATATTTTTACTCTTTCCCCCGTTTCCCTTTCACTTTTTCTCTCACGCCCAGAATCAGGCCGACTGGGTTTTGAGAATCCTGCGTACATTAATCAGAGCATCATGGATTTCCAGTTCAAGATCCCGCTCTTCTCTCTTCTCGTTCTTTTTGCTTTTTTTCAGCAGACCCAAGCCTTTGGAGCAGGAAACATCGCTTCTATATCCCGTATTGAAGGCCAAAATTGGCGTCATGGGGATATTGAAGATGCCCTTTTAACCTTGTTCCTGGCCCGCGTTGCTGGTGGCCGTAAATTCAACAAGCTTGATGTGCAACGCGTCTATTTCGGAAACTGGTTGCGTGACTATAGCCAGGCTGTTGATGTCGGAACGCTGAAATATGTAAGCACTGAGGCTATTCGCATTCTGATATGGGTATTGGGATTCCTCAGTTTCGGGTAAAGCCCTCCTCCCTCTTATGCTCATCTTCACAAACCATGGACTCTTCAAATTCTTATTGACGTTTCACTAGCTACGGGACCAAAGAGTTTGAGGTGACAACAGAGCGTCTTGGGTGTTATGAACCGACGGAACACATAGATAATCCTCTCGGTTATGCCGAGGGGGAGGATGCCCGGGATTATGATCCCAGACTAAGAGGCCCAGTTGAGGAGGAGCGTGAACTTTCCATTGACCCAAGAACTGGTACGTAAGGTCGATCATATTTGGGGAAAGGGCTAACTAAGACGCGCCCTCGATGAATGTAGGCCTCAAGAACTACATAGCCTCCGAGGACTTGGGGATTGCAACTTCTGCAGGTCTGGTACGACGGGTATTTCATCGATCCATCCAGCTAGCTCGTCGGTACGCAAGCTCGAGAAATGACGAAGATTTGCACGAAGCTCTCCGTCTCCTCGGAACCGGGTTGCATTGTCTTGAAGACTATGCGGCGCATTCAAATTACGCGGAATTGAGCCTGATCGAGCTAGGCGAAGTGGACGTGTTCCCTCACGTTGGCCGTGATACTAAAGTAGAAATCCGGGGTGCCCAGGACTACGTCTATCCTATCATCACGGGAACCTTTGGTGGTGTTGACTTCTTCCATTCCGTGCTCGGTGAATTGTCCGATAAAGCAACGCAGTCTGAAGTTCAATCTCTGGAAGGTGTTATGGCTGAATCACAGAATGGGACGCCATCCGAGAGCTTCATACAGGAGCTGCTCGGGAAAATTCCAGATGGATTGATCGGTGACACAAACGGCCAGGCCGACAAAATGAACGAATTCAAGTCGAGATCGGAATCCGCCAAAGAAACCAGCCAACAAGTTTCTCCTCGAGAACCCGAAGAGTGGACGCGCTACTTGGACGATGTGCATCAGCAGATATATCCCATCCTGGAATGGCACGATAATTTAATCAAATCCATTAACAGTGCGATTGAGAAGATCCCAGTTCTACCGGAGCTGGTCGCGCAGATTCAAGAACAAATAACGATATTCGTCTTTTCTGTCATCGCGCCATATGTGCTCCCAGTTCTCCAGCAGGTAAAGACTGAGCTACAAACCGGATCGTCTGAAGTCATTCAAAGCAGCAAGGAGAAGCAGCATATCGTATTTGATGATGACTCCTCTTCCAACCCGACGCACTCGATGCTTTCGAAAGATCATTTCTCAAACTTACTCAACGAGCCTGCGGGCCGAGTAGCTTCTCAGGTTGTCAAATGGGCGGTGCCTCAGCTGATGGAATGCTGGGACAATGAAGACATTGATGTTGACAGAACGCTGGATAGGATCATATCAGGTGTTTTTCATCATCCCGCCCTCCGCGCGTTCGGTGAAGACGGTGCGAGCGATGTCCGTCAAGCCATGTTTGGCACTATCGAAGAGTGGTGGCATGGGAAAAGCGAGGAGGAGAAAGAGATGTTACGGGAACATCTATCTCGGGACGGTGTGTACCAGGGGAAGAATCATCGGGAGGGAGTTCATGACTCGGGTCATGGATGCGGCAAACCACTGAGTATCCAGAAACACCATACCCCCAACGAGGAAGCCCAAGCAGATGACAGCAAATTCGGAAAATTCGCAGCAGAAGCTACAGGTGGCGGCTCTCTTGGTGGGCTGGTCGGTGGCCTTGTGAGCGGCGTTAGCTCAGTGTTACTGAATAATAGTTCCGACCGACCTCAGACGGGCGATGACGAACAACGTCGACCCTCATATCATGATGACAGCCGATTAGAGCGAGGCGACGATCGCCCAGACTATGGCTACGGCCATCAACAGGCTCAGGAACGTTACGACTATTCAGGAAGAAGCGATTATGTACAGAGCCAATCGGAATATACCGATGTTCAGTATCGCGAGTCGCAGGTGACATTTATCTCGAGACGCGATGAGTATAGTAGTGAGCACGTCGACCGTCATTACGAATATGAAAGCCGCCCCAGATATGAGGCGCAAACGAGTGATGACACCGAATCGCGCTATCCAGCATATGAAAGCGAGGGTGGACGTTATGAGTCCCAGTAAGTTTGAATATTATTCTCTCCAGTCTTGAGGTGAATAATTCCCGCATATATGCTCTAAGTATTGACCTTCTCAAAGAGAATCTGCACCTCGTTATACCCGTGATGCCCGCGACAGGTATGGGGACGATGAGTACTCTCGGGAAGGTGGCGCTTATTCCAACAGCAACAGCGAGTATGTCGAAGGTTCGTATGGATACGGCGGACGTCCGCGCTACGATGCCAACCCAAGAGGATATGATTATTGAGTGGGAAAGGCTTTTTGCGATCGGAAGTTGGTTTTGCATCAATGGTGCTTGATTCTGGTAATAGCTTGGAGCCGGGATAATCGTACGGTTCCAAGCTTTCAAGAGCCTACCGGAAGAGAAAAATTAAAATTCTCATGGTTAATCGGAGTAGTCTGTAAAAAGCGCTGGCCTCACAAGACATGTGCAATTCACCATTCTTTAACGTCCCCCGGGGACGGAGGCTCTACTCTAACAACCTTATCACAATTGAGCAGGCAGAGAGGGTCGAAGGCCAATTTTAACTGCATTTGATGTCAGTATGTCGGTACTGTGATTGTACGCTTGCTGTATGTAGGACTTACCCGCCGCATTGTATCCACAGTAGACTGTCCGACTTCATGCTCCAGGTAGTCCCGTTTGATGAGGCCGACTCCATGCTCTCCCGTCACAGTGCCCTCCATTTCTACTGCACGTTTAACCATTCGGTGAACAACCGCCTCTGCGTTTTTTCTTTCACTTTCATTGAAGAGAATGATCGCTGTACATGTAACGTTAGGTTAGCAATGCAATTAGTTGACGACCGGGGAAGGTGGGTTTACCGTGGAAATTGCCATCTCCGACATGACCACAGATGCCTGCCAGTAGCCCACTTTTAGTCATATCTTGCTTGGTTGTTTCTACAATGTCAGGCAGCCTGCTCATCGGAACTGCCACATCCGTCGTCCAGACATGGTCTTCGGGGCCCCTTCTCATTGCCATTACACTCCAGAGTGCCTGTTTTCGCGCACTCCATAATTCTTGCATTTCCTCTTCGCCGCGAGCAAACTCGAACGACCGACCAGCAGCGCCAGAGACTATTTTTTGAACCATGCTGATTTGCTCCTTGATGCCAACCGGAGTTCCCGTGAACTTGAAAAACAACGTGGGCGACTCCTTCCACCGCCGGCTAGTCGCCTGGCTGTCGTTGATGCACTTCATCTGGATGTCATCCAATA